AATGTTCAAAGGTCCCACCACCCACTGATTTCAATTGATTTTTAACAGTCCATTGCACTGTTCAGTTTTCCCAGAGGCGTGGTGAAGGGTGGGGAATATGACACACCCACTCTGTGCTCTCTGGCCCAGGTGTCTACAAGGTTATTTTTGAAATGAGTTCTGTTGTCAGACTCAATTCTTTCTAGGGTGTTGTGCTCCTGCAGGACTTGCTTTTCAGGCGCCAAGCAGGGGCCAAGTGATCCACGCAGTGGCACAAGGCACAGGATATGTCTTCAGGGTTTATCTCTTTGAAAATATTCTGTCACTTTATCAGGGTCCTATAGTTGTTCAGGGGTAAACTTGCAAATCACTGAAGCAGAAAAGGCCTTCAAAAGGTAGCCCATGCCCTCCAACATTCCATACCACTCATGATTATCCACCCTTGGGGCAGATTTCTGAAAGGTACTCAAGTAAGTTTTGTAGCTTTTTAATTGGCCTGGGTTCTTCATAATTTGCATTCTAAAGGTACTTTTTTGTTGTAAAAATATGAGCTGTAGCATTTACACTGTGTTAAACTTGTACTCACCTCCCAGTGCAGAGTTGCTGCAGTTAACTCTTCAGTTTATAAACACTGTAATACCTTCCAAAGGCCACGGGGAAATGAGTGTGTGTGCTGTGCTGTAGCAGAGAAAATCAGGCTTTTGATGGCTTAGTAGATGCAAATAGAGAATTTGCAATCAATTATTTAACAGGAAATTCACAAGAGTGCAGGGCATAGCAGTTATAATTTGTGCAGATGCAATGGACTTGTTTTCTACTACTCTACTTTACTATTTTACTTTTGTACTTTACTTTGCTGCAGTTGTACTATGTTGATTGAAGAAACTCGTCCTTAAAATAGGTTTTTGAAGTCTTTGGGCAATTATGAATTAAAATGACAAGTGATGGCGCCAACTTACACTAAATGCTTCTTAAAACATCTCACTTGTAGGCTTTATTTGCTGTGGTTTATAATCTCTGTTAGAAGTTTTCCATGAGGAGTCTTTGCCTCAAACTATTTTGTTTTGAGTGAAGATGAATAATCTAATGGCTTTATTCATGAATATAACTAGCAAATACATAATTTACCTAAGCTAGATATGCAGACTGCATTGTCACATGTGTTGTAACATACCCATCTTTGGTCTCTAAATGCCAATGATATAAGTTACAAGTTGTGTAATTTCTGGGAGAAGTCAACTGCCAGTCTACCACACTAAATTTTTGTGAGTTTATAAGCTTTGTATATGCTAAACATGTAATGGTGTCCTAGTAGCTTAAATCTGTAGGGAGTGTTTCCTCACTAAGTACTTCTTCAGTTCTCTGAGCTCCCAGTGCTGACCAAATTCTGCATGCAACATGTAGCTGAAAATATTCTACTTCCATTTTTTTTGATGTGCTGGCACAGTAATCTGGCCCAGGGCACTATGAGAAGTGAGACTGCTTATAAAACAGACCGGGGAAATAATGTTGTGTGCTTGTATCCTTGATTTTATTCTTCTTTTTTTTTGCATGGTATGGGTTGAATTTAGTGTTATATAGTTGAAGTGGTGAAACATTGTAACAACAATACCTTGTAAAACAGTGAAATTAATTGGTCCTTCAGACTTTTCTATTGTTAGGGCACAGTTGGTGTTGTATTTATTAAAAGAGTTACACAACTAAACCTTTAACAGTGATGAAAAATTAAATATAAAATGGCTGCTCATTAAGAGTCTCCTGTCTGTCTTGAATAGAAAGTATCTTGGAAGAGAACTATGATTTCTTGTCTGATAAAGAGGACTGTAACAGAGCTTAGGTACAAGAAGATATCAAGATGAACAGATGTGCATTTCATGAGCTTTTATTTAAATTAGAATTCTTTAGTCAATTATTCTACAATTCTCTGCAACACCACAAAGAAAGGGTAAATATTGGTTTAAGATCAGGAGGGACTACTGGAGGTAAACTGGTCTAGCCAGCTTACAGCATCTTAAAGCAAGTCCAATCCAATAGAGTTGTCCAAGCCTTTTCAAGTTCTGGTGAAGCTGAAATCTCCTTTCCTAAGGTCCAGGGTTATAATTTGCTTTAATTTTCTTTTTCAATTGTCTCGAACTTTCAAACTCTATAAACTCATGGTTGCTGCAGTCCAATAGAAGTATTTAAGTCAAGTGTGTTTGTGTTGCATGATTGGGTTTGTTAGTTTTTTTTATCTTTTCTCTTTATGTGATTGCAATGTGGTACTAACTCCTTTTATACTTTAATTTTACTTGAAGAACCTTATGGTTTCAGACTGGAATGACTATTATGTTCATAATCTGGGAAAAAAAAAATTATACTGGCAAAATGTTAATGTGCATCTCTTTCCAAAAATGTCAATGGATATCCTATTTGTCCTCAAAAAGTTGGGAAGGGTCATTGATGTATCCAACAAATGTTTGTACATTCAGCTACACACAGATAAAGCAAGTGGCCCATCTCTCATTATGCAGATATTTTCTGACCCGGAAAATAAGGAAACAACTACTGGCCATCAGACTTCTGCTTACAGGTCTGTTCGGGTTAGTGCTGCTCTGGTTGTTGCATCTGAATTCTCTTTATTTCAAGAACTCAGTACCTTGCCAGAATATATGACAGCAAAATCCATCACAATAAACCCCTGACATGTTTGAAGTAAAGTTGGACAGCCTGTGGACCAGGTGAACTCCAGAACTGAGTTGACATTCTCAGCTGAACCATAGTACTACATTTCTTCATGAAGCATTATGTAGAGCCATCTCAGAGAAAACTGGAGTAATACCCAACAGAGGCAGATTTATACTATGCTATTTCTTTTAGTGTTTCTGATTCTTACCTTAGGAACCCTGGTACCATAGTACCAAAGTACTGAATATTGTCAGGTTAGGCTTAAAAGAAAAATCTATGGTCTGTGAGGAGAAAATAAGATCTGGTTAAGTAATTACGTCTCACGAAAGGCCTGGAAGGATGTAATTGGTGCTAATTGGCTCTCATTGGAGGACTGACATGGTCTACCTGCAGCCAAATTACTCTTAGAGAGGCAAAAAAGTCATCTGTCTTCATAAAGAGCAAAGAACTCACCTCCAAGCTTGCCTTTGCTGCTGAAAGGCCTTATAACCAGTACGAAGGAAAGGAAGAGAACTTGAAATTCAAGTGAGAGTAATTCTGGGAAGTGGGTTTTAATTTGTGAAGCCATCAACAATAAGTAAATCTAACTTTGCTTACCGCATTGCTGTGCCTAGTTTTAATGTGTAGTGCAAATACACAAATTATGGAACAAACTGATAAACTGTAGTAGTATATTTGTCGTGTAGCTTTAGCGGGACTGTTATACCTGAGGTTGGGGAGAGCACATAGGTAATTCACTACCTGGTCATCTCCAGCTGTTTAACCATAAGGTTACAGATAGAGCTGGGGATATGTTTAAACAAACAGACAAAACCTCTTTCTAGCGTCTTAAAATAGTCATACACCCTCTGTCTGGAGTTTAAAGCTGAATGAGGAGACTGAGTCTGTAAAATTTAAAACTGTTCTTTCTCAAACTGAAATAGTGTATGTTCACAGTTCCAGAATGCCAGAACGTGCTCTTTCGGTAGTTCAGAATTATGACTGAAGTTTCCTGTGTGACCCCGATTTTGGACACATTTACCTGAATTTACTGAGGGCATGTTCTGTTGGATGTGCACAGGCCTGGAAGGGAAGAAGGAAACATGATTCATTATCACTCTGTCATTGAGTCAGCTGCTCACAAATAACTTCATTTTTAGGTGGCTGAGTTTTTGATGTCTGTTTTGGTAATGTGTTCTGAGATGTCTAGAGGAAGCCTCTTTAGCAGGGGAGAAGTGTATCAATTATTTCTACTAATATGTAGCATTTATTTGGAATTCAGGTCATAGAGAGCTTTAGTGAGGCTGCAGCTTTGTAGGCAAGTGTAGAAATTACAGTGATATGATCCTACGTGTTTCTGTATCTATCTACTTTTACTCTGTACAGGGTTGCGTGATACATATTGTAACACTCAGTTGTAGTTTCACTCAGATTGGAAAATGTACCCAGTAATTGCCTGTACTCTTTACATATGTTTTATCCTTGTTGCAGTAACAGGAGCTGGTTATTTTTGCTTACTGTTCTGTAACCATTGTGATAATGCTCAGAAAAATGAGGTGCAGTAAGTGGCTGAAAGATGGAGGAGTATTGTTCCTGGCCTGCCTGTAGATTTGGACAGGACAGGAATTTTACATATATTTTTAAGAAGCTCAGGGGCCAATTTTATAACTGCTGAGTTATAAAATCTTGCTTCTAACTCAGACTGTTGAGTACAAGTCAGAATGTGATCTGCAAATGCTTTAGCTTCTCTAGTTTCCTTGTCTGCAATAATAATTCCTCACTTGCATTTCTGCCTTCCTCAGCTCAGATGGCCCTCATGAATGTGGGAGGACAGTGTTCAGCTTGGGAGAAGTTTGGTGTTGTCCTTAAAAACAACGGCAAGGAACAAATTCCCAGGCTTAGCTGTGACAAGAAAAATGGTGCTGAAAATATGTGGACTAGATGTCAAAAAATCTCATGAAGTGTTGAGAAAAGTATAGTCTCCTACTATGTGTGAATAGACTTTAGCTGAAGGCAAGTCCAACCTGAAGGAGAAATGCGAAATATTTCCTTTGAATTATCTTATAAGATTGAATCCCATGCTTTTGAAGCAGAAGTGGCTTGTGGTTTTTCCTCCTGTCTGCGGTATTAGCACTAATGAAGTCATTCATTCTTGATAAGCCATCTTGATAATTTTTGGTAAACTCTTCACTTGTTTTTGTCTTAAGTGCTGCATGGCTTTATTGAGGAACTGTGGCCAGCAGGACACATTGATTTTACCCCTGTAACTAATGAAAGCGTGTGCTTGCTAAAGTTGTTCCTTTTGGAAGTCATAGGATTACCACCAGACTTGGCAAATAAGTAACTAATACACTTTTCTTTGGTTTTGTATTTTGTAGCTGGTGCCACATATATCTTTGGGAAGAGTGGAGGTCTCATCCTTTACACCTGGCCAGCTAATGACAGACCAAGCACAAGGACAGACCGTCTTGCTGTGGGTTTCAGCACAACGGTGAAGGATGGCATCCTCGTCCGGATTGACAGTGCCCCTGGGCTTGGTGATTTTCTGCAGCTGCACATAGTGAGTACAGACAGGCCCATGTCTCTCCCAGACCTGGGTTTCCCTTAACTGGATATGTGTTTGAAGAAGGCTGTTACTCTAAAATACCATGTGTCGTATTCTGTACTTTCTATGTCTTCAATTCTCATCAGATTAAACTGCCTCTAGTAGTTCTTTAGGGTTTTGTAGAGCTGCTGAATGGGATGCACAGAGAATTAAATCTTGATACCAAAAGTAGTTGGGGAGGGAGGATACAAACAAAACTCAAAAGCCTTATGTGATTCAATAGTTCGATTTGTTCAAAAAGTGAAGAAACATTTTGCATCAGTGGTAATCTACTGATTCATATGCATAGTTTTGAACACAGCTGAATTTCTGGTGAAGTATTACTATTCTTGGAATGCAAAGAGTAAAAGGGAATGATAGGTCGTTGGTTTTTTCCTCACGAAGAAAGTTAAGTGAGAACTGAACAGATCCTCAAGCTGATATAGCTGATGCTTGCTTTAACAGGGTAGTTCAAAAGAATAAGAATTTTATGTTAGCACAATATGGCTTTGCAAGAAAATAATAGGGTTTTTTGAGAGTTTGAGCAAAGGGGCTTTTAGGATATTGAATTACTTGAGAAAATGAGAACACTAGGACTGGAAACACTCGGAATTTGTTACTTCATGTGATTCTTTGGGAGGAGAAGAGGTGTTTGCTTTGCTTTGTTTTCATCTGGCAAATAGCCAAGAGGTTTACTAGAGGTAGAGGCTGGTCATGTTACTTGATGTTCAGATTATTTGCAATGTATTACTCATTAATTCATAGTGGAAGGGCAATTGGGCCCTTTGCAAATTTTGAATGAACTGGGTATATTTTGACATTTCATGGAACCTTGAAAATATAAGTAAACAGGAAGCAATGCCAGGGGCCAAAACAGACCTAATGTGAATGACGAAGGGTCTTAGTCTGCTGCTGGAGTTTGCCATATTCAGAATCATGTTGAAGAACTGGGTGCTTGCAGGGTGGTTCTGAAACAACCAGAAACAATGTTCTAGTGCTTGCTGCCAGCATTTTAAGTGGTTTTTGTTTTGAATCCTGTTGTAAAATGCATTGGATTGGGCTAGATATGGCTTGAGCCATTAGACTGTCACCCATTCTGATTTTTCTCTTTTGTGATATATCCAAATATTTAGTTTGTTTTGTGCTAGAATAAAAATGTCATCAAATCCTGGCATTTTTTTTAATATAAAACCAGGTTTTCTTCCTTTCTTAAAAACAAAAAGAAACCCAGAAGACTGTAAAAGTGAGTAGTGCTAAGCCTAATTGGTTGGAACTCTGTGACTCAAATTAAGCAAATGTGACTTGATGTGTCTGAGCAAGGCAATGTATTCTTCAGGTGTTACATTATAACATGTAAAATGCTATCAATTAACTGGAAAACAGTAGTCTTGCATATGGGGAGAGGTGCAGAGATATGAATTTGTTAAGGCTGTAGCAGCAGTCTAAGATGGGATCATGTTGCTCTTGAATGTCTAGTGGGATATTATAGAGAAAAATCAAAGTCAGGCTCTTCTTTGCCGTAGTCAGTGGAAGGAAAAGGGGAAATGGACACAAGTACCAACAAAAGAAATTTTAGTTCTGCAGTAAGTATTTGCACAGTGACTCTTTTCAGCATTAATGATGAAGACACATTTTTTCTTTATATTTTGGTCTTAAACATCTACCTTTCTCTACCCTTAATTGAACATTTTGATGATGGAATTTTTTTTAATTATAAAAAAACTTTGCTAAATAGACTGAAACAAAGAAATTGAACCTGAGACATAAGCATTAATTTAAAACAATAATAACAAAAGAAAATAATTGCTTTCTCTTTCCAATCAGTTTTGGAAAAGAAAATAATGAAAAATTTTCAGCTTCTTTTCCATATTGTTTTTTCAAACTATTCTGTATGGCATGGTGCTAGTTTCAGATTATTTCAGATATTTAAGTAAAAACTACTAATTGTGGTTAATATTATTGCTGGAAGTTCCACTGAATGCTCCCTGTGTAGTTTGGCCAATTTTATCCCTGAAGCTGTTCACTAGCAGTAAATATAGAACTAGTTCAGCTTTAATTTCTCTCATTCTTTTGTGGTCAGGATGGATTAGGAGGATTTTCTAGTCATTCATGAAGAGCAAAGGCATGCTGCTGTGCTCTTCTGGGTATGGTATTGCTGTTTGTCATATATATAACTGGCTCTACCTAACTGTTCAAATAAAGAATGTGGTCTGAGACTCATGCTGTGACATGCAATAGGAAAGTTGAAGAGGAACTTCTAAAGTGTTATTGACTTGAATATCTGTAAGGCTGTTATCTCTGGTTTATGGTTCAAAGAAATAGAAGTGAGTTTACGTCAAGATTATTTTGGAAAAAAAATGAAATCTGAAGTTTAAGGTGAAACTTGAATTGACAGTTAAAATGCAAAACCATTTAGGATCTCTTAGCAAATTGCATGCAAACTTCTCATGAGACCAAGATCTTTTGTACTGTCTGAAAACTACCACATGCTTGTGCAGTGATAATCAAAGATTTATCCATCTTCTTTTCTTCAAAACCTCCCTTTAGGCCATTTTCAATTGTCAAGAGAAACAAGGCAGCATGGGTAAAATTTTAATAGAAATGTGGGATAAATAGATCTTAAAATCAGAGCTATGAAAACAGATTAAAGTGATAATAAAATAAACTTTGAAAACCCAACTACTTAGACCACAAAGCAAATTACAAGAGAAAGAGAAAACACTAATATAATTTATTTTTATTTACATTTAGCATCTTGACTTTTTCAGGTGCAATTATATTTAATGATAATAGTAATAATAAAAGTGACAGGGATTTTCCTGGGTGAATAAAAAATCCTGGGGACAATTCTTTTACGGAAGCCTTTTTAGATATTCCATTCACAGACTTTTGGATGCTATTTACTGGATGCTGACCTCCTCACACTTCCCTGGGTGTTCTGTTGGTGATAACAGATGGGAAAGCCAACAGATGATCATTGTTTTCTAATGTGCGTCACTAAACTAAAATCTAATCCAAAAGTAATAGTAACAGCTATGGTTTATCAAGATCTGATTATGTTTTAAAGATTGTAAAAGTTGCTCATACTCTTTTAAGGGGTTAGCCTTAGCTCTTCTTTTAGTAGTTAGTCTGCTTTTTTGTTATCATGTATGTTTTTGAGATCATTGATCTCTTCTATTTGTAGACTTGAAGTCAAAGAAGATATTTTATTTTGAAGTTACATATTTACCACTTTAATTTACAGTTGTTCTGATAGAATTCATTTTTTAATTATGAGTCTTTCAGATATTGTGGAAATTTATTGACTAAGATGTCTGTTTTATATGACGAAAAATTACCTCTGTAAAAATTAGCCTCTGAAACTATTTTCTCTCCTGACTTACAGTGAAGTATGAGGTGGTAGCCCTGCAGAAATGGATGGCATACTATCCAGATCAATGCTGCAGATGAAGCATGAGGTGTTTGTGAGAACAGGCTGTAGCACATGGAATGAGGGTGTTGCTAGAGCATCAGATCCCTCCTTAGGAATTTTTTTGTTTTCCTGACAATTCATTCAAAGCACAAGTCCAAACCTATACCGGTAAATTGTCTTCCACAATGGATACTTCAAAGATTGCATGTCTTGAGTTGTGGGTTCAATGCTTCTGTATGTTTATTCACTTTGCACCACTACACCTTATTTTTTGTGTTGTATCATATACAAAACAGCAGAATGAAATGAGGAGAGAAACAGCTGCAAGTGATGAAGGATGTCATTCTTGTAGTAATTGTTGAGATAGAAATCATTCATGTGTGCTGCTGGTTTAGTCTGCATTCTTTCATTTTGTTCTGTATGGTAAACTGCCATCAAGCTTCTGGATCTTCAGAATAGTGTTGTAAGGCCTGTTACAGTTTCTGAATTCCCCACAAGAAGGAATTCAGGGCAAAAATGTTAGTGATCTTAGGATGAGTTTTGCTTAAGTAGACCCAGGCTAGGGAGGATTCATCATTTAGCACTAGACTACTACTGAAGGCTACATAATTTGATGTAGCCCATTCTGATTTTTAAGCAATTAAGTGTAGGAAAAAGTAAGTTTTCCCTGAATTATAGGATAAATATAAACATAAAATGAATGTGTCCATTCAGTCATTTATTTTCTTTACAGTTATACTGTGATTGGCCCAAGTCTGTGGTTTTTACAGTTGTTAAACCAAATTCTGCCTCCTCTCTATGAAGTCTGCTCTTGTATTTGCAGGGTTCCCAGAGGGAGGAAGGAATGATGAATCTGACTCCATGTTCTTAGAAGGCTAATTTATTATTTTATTAAAAAATAATAAACTAAACTATACTAAAGAATACAGAAAGGATACAGACAGAAGGCTAAAATATACTAATGAAAAACTCGTGACTCTCTCTTCAGAGTCTCGACACAGCTTGGCCGTAATTGGCCAATAAGTCAAAAACAATTCATATGAAACCAGTGAAACCACCTGTTGGTAAACAATGTCCAAACACATTCCAAAGCAGCAAAACACAGGAGAAGTAAATCAGATAATTATTGTTTTCCTTTTTCTCTGAGGCTCCTGAGCTTCCCAGGAGAGAAATCCCAGTGAAGGGATTTTTCCAGAAAATATAACGGTGACAGTCTGCCTTCCAAGCTGCAGTGGCATGACATCTGAGCAGCTACAAAAGCAGATGATTTAGAATCAGAAGATGGATAGATGCAGGATTATCCTTATCATAACCAGAGGGTATGTGATGAACTGCATAACTTAAGGGCTACTCTGAGACAAGAAATGGAGGCAAAATACAATGAGAGTTTGTGTTTTACTTTTCTGAAACCAAAATCTCTTTAATGTGAGATATTTCAGCCTTTCTTGGCTGAATACAGACTGAGCATTAACAGGCTTACATTTTTGAATCCAAGAAAGTAGAAAGAACAGGGTTTCCTTAAGACTAACCTGCATTATATTGGAGAAAGTATATCAGCAGATGC